GATTGCCATACACTACCATGGGTTCCGGCAGTTTGGCTGCTATGGCTGTTTTTGAAGGTGCGTAACTTGTACAAATAAGTGTTGCAATTTGGTACGTCTTAATCTAAATAATTATATGCGACTTTTAACAGATCGTTGGCGACCGGATATGGAAGAAGAAGAAGCCAAAAAATTGGTTCGCGATGCAATCGCTTCGGGTGTATTCAATGATCTTGGTTCGGGCTCAAACATCGATTTGTGCGTTATCAAAAAAGGCACCGTCGAATATTTGCGTGGTTATGAATATGCCAATGAGAAAGGAGTTCGTGCTGTAAGTTTTTGGGGAATTCATTTATTGTCTGTATTTAACCATTTTCATGAAAATGATGTAACGAAAATATCTTCTTTTCAGTTAAACTATGACTTCAAGCTGGGTACAACAGCCGTTCTCGACACAAAAATCCATCAATTCGACATTGAAGAGACCGTTATTCCAATCGCATCCAGCAGCGCCACACCGATGGACACAGCTTGATTCAATATTTTCATGGCATTTTAAATTTTCTATACTAAAACATAATAAAAAATAGGGCTATTAGCCTGCTAAATGGTATTAATTTCAGATGTTTATTTCATTGTAAAGAAAAATTTTAACTTCAATGAATCATTGAATCAAAAATTTCCATTAAGATAACGAATTTCCACATTTCACATCAATTCCATTCAAACTTGACGGTTTTCCAGTATTGAAAATGGAAATCCAACAGTTCAATTTCTGTTTCGCAAGAAATTGAGTAAGTGAACTCGTAAAATTTACAGTGAACATCTATTTTTAGTCGGAATCAATCAGGTTTAGCGGCAGACCAAACAATCGCTTCCAATATGGAATATTCCAATTGTTGTAGTACGAACGACCACTGGAAGCGTAAACATGGCGACAGCGGTAAGCTGTCAACATAACAAGTATTTTACCGATTCTCGTTTTTCCCTGTGTGACAACTAACTACAAGTTTCTTCTAAAAAAAGGAATCCCACTTGTATTCAAGCAAAAAATCATATCAATTTAACACATTTTTAATAAATAAACGTGAATAATTGCATAAATTTTAAAAATTCTCAGGCGAATGTTTACATTGAGTCATTAAACGTCATCAAATACATTGTTCATATCTATATCGCTTCCAAATCGCTTTTTTAGATTTTAAATAGAAATATGTCTGGCAATAACACATTAATAGCGAATTCTAAAATTGGGGAAAAATTCGGAAAGAGTTGCAAAGAACGTTACATTGAAATCGAAATAGTATGTGAAAGAGATTTTCAATCTCCTAAACAATTCATCGCTATGTTAACAGGTAAATGAAACTCTGTATATATTGCGATTCCAATGCAAAAGTATTTTCGCTTTTTAACAGATTGCCTGATTCATTGGCAAACGCAATCAATCAACCATATTCAGTTCAAAGTGCCAATAACAATGGAGAAAGGTGCGCACATTTTAACCATTCTGTATCAAAATGGGTTCGGGTTTTTAAAATTTGACGATGGTTGTTGCGTTGTTTTCAAAAACCTTGAAAATGATGCGGTCGTCCGAGTTGTTCAACAGCAGGTAGGATCAATATATATTTGTGTTCGGCCTTTTTGCAAATGATTTTTTGATATTTCAGTTCAACGAATTTCGAATTGGGAATTAAATAATATGAACATTCACAGGATGATAGTGGCGGCTCTAGTTCAATCAATGAATCGATGACACGATCTCCGCAGCCATCACACACATCAGAAGCAAATGATTCGGCTTTTGATGTCAATCAAGCAGGCCCTTCCAACCAGGCCTTTGGCTCTGTTTCAATCAATACACCGGTCGCACGATCTCCGCTCTTATCGCACTCGTCAGAATCAAATGATTCCGAAAATACAGGTATATTAACACAAGCATCACCGCATTTGCAAACACCCAGCCCAGGTGAACCATCAGAACCATCACCTATTTCATCATCAGACTTCCATTTGAATGAAAACAGTAACAGCCGTGAACCTGTTTTCAGTCACTCTGACTAAGTTCTGTGTGATAGAAGTTGTCATTAAAAGACAGGTGAATTGTAGTCGATGGTTGATTAAAGACTGACGATTTTATTCATGCACTTAAAGACTATATACAATAAATTGCTTAGCTGACTTATTTAAATTCTCCGAATTCTATTCAGGTTATTGTTGCACTTATAACTAAATAATAATTATTTCTTGCTTATGATTCATTATTTCGTGCGATTTCATTATTGTTCGATTCCAGTTAATTCAAAATTATGTCAATAGACACACTCAGATGATTCCAATCAACAAGTTCCCCATATAGATTGATTAATTGAATACAATACAAGCTATAAACTTGCTGCAAACAACTAATTTCATTGTATGTTCATTACGTAAACCAAAAAGTAAAATTATTAAACGTTTATTTCGAATATATACATTGTCATTTAAAAGGCAGATTTAACACAATTAAATCTTCTTTTTTGGGAAAATCGTCTGTTACAATGATAAAGTCTTTGTTTTCAGGGCATTTCGCTACTTGATCCAAATATCCAAGCCAATAAATTATTATTCCGTTGCCAAATCTGAAAATAAATCACATTTTTGAATAAAATTGTCAGCGAGTTTCGTTTTCCATTTATTCAAGCAGAGTCAAGCATGTTTCGATAGAAATATCAAGAAAAAGTACCTATTTCCGTAGCTAGACAATTGATCGTTCACATATTGCCGATGTGAAGTCATATCGCCGAATGATGCCTTGCTCTCGATCCAATTGATTATCTTTCCTTTGTACATACAAGGTACGGCCAATTTTAAATCCGGTGTCTTGTCATATCCATATCGTCTCAAATGCACTTCGTCATGAAACTCCAAGCCCGCATCTGAGGCCATTTTTTTCAATCGCACTTCATAATCTTCACCAATGGTTTGTCGTTTTAAATCAGTCAATGGACCATCAGACTTGTCATTGTGGAGACAATTCAGAACATTCAACGCCAACAGAGGGTCAGGAATTAAGTATGGATGTTTCATCATTTCATTGGTTACTGATTTCGGTTTTCCCTCAAATCCCATGCTCAGCAAAATGCGGCACAGAGAAACCGGTGAAAAGTTTTCACGTGTGGCAATTTGCAGTAAAATAAATGGGTCGCCCCTTGCTCCAGATTGTTGTTTGTACCTTAAATGTAAAGAACCCAGTGAATATTGAATTCAATCGAATAAATTTGAAAATACAAGAAGCTTACTCTCTTAACAAGTCTGCTCCAGATCGTGCAATCCTATGATGCCATTGTTTTATGTGTTTTTGCCATTCCTTTGATAAAATCGCTGATAAAACTTGTGGATCGATATGGCTGAAAAATTTCCGCAACTCTTGTTCACAATGAATGGTAAGCCCCCTGAATTTTGTGCAGAATTCACAAATTTGTTCATACGTTTCTGTACTAATCACAACCATTTTCGGACGATAACTTCTTTCACTTTTGAATCCATCAGATATTTGCAACAGAATAAGTGTTTCGATTCAATACTGTTTACAATTATTGCGAGTATCTGACATTTCTCTAATACGGCTTACCGGTTGAGCTGTCAAAATTTGAATGAATGAACCGGATAGTTTACTTTCAGTCCTGCTAACTCAAATACTTGAGTTTTTATCAATGACATATCACTAGAATTTAGAGAGAAAATTTTTTTTCTTCAGTTTCAATGGTAAATCTGAATAAAATCAAAAATGTGGGACTTTCACATCGAAATTCTTTAAAACACAAACAAATATGATTATTCCATGCGTTCATTTCCCGATTGAGATCAAAGAGGTCGCTAGTGGGTAAACATTTTATGTTGGAACGAATGATTTGACACATTTCGGCGTTCTAAGATATTTGTTGTCAGTGAGCGACGGTATAACATTCATCAAATTGCATTTGTTTCATATCATCACAGTTGAAAAACTTACAAATCCGAAAAATGGCAGCAATTTCGAGCTATGAACTATTGGAAGATGGAAAAGTATTTGCTGATTACGGACGATCAGGTTTTAATTTCGAGAATTGTCGACGGTATGAAATTCAATTTTAGAAAGTGTGATTTGTGCATTGTCATTTCAGGGAAAACTTAACCTCAATTCCCATACCAAATTTATGAATTTGTTTATATTTTAGCAATGAAATGTTAATCAAGAATGGTTTCAAAGAGCCAAAATCAATTAAAACGGGCACAACAATCGTGGGAATCATTTTCAAGGATGGTGTCGTTCTTGGTGCTGACACCCGAGCCACAGAAGGACCAATCGTAGCCGACAAGAATTGCGAGAAAATCCACTTTTTAGCCAAGAACATGTAGTATACAAGTATTTCATCACATCCAAAATGCGCCGGACAATTGTCTAAATGCGTCTCAATCGTTTTTTAGCTGTTGCGGTGCTGGAACAGCAGCTGATACAGAAATGATGACAAATATGATTTCATCGCAATTGGAATTGCTTCGATTGAACACCGGTCGTGAAGTTCGTGTTACAACAGCCAATACACTGTTGAAACGGATGCTATTCCGTTATCAAGGCCACGTTAGTGCTGCTTTGGTATTGGGAGGTGTTGACATCAGTGGACCACACATCTATTCCATTCATCCACACGGATCAACAGACCGATTGCCATACACTACCATGGGTTCCGGCAGTTTGGCTGCTATGGCTGTTTTTGAAGGTGCGTAACTTGTACAAATAAGTGTTGCAATTTGGTACGTCTTAATCTAAATAATTATATGCGACTTTTAACAGATCGTTGGCGACCGGATATGGAAGAAGAAGAAGCCAAAAAATTGGTTCGCGATGCAATCGCTTCGGGTGTATTCAATGATCTTGGTTCGGGCTCAAACATCGATTTGTGCGTTATCAAAAAAGGCACCGTCGAATATTTGCGTGGTTATGAATATGCCAATGAGAAAGGAGTTCGTGCTGTAAGTTTTTGGGGAATTCATTTATTGTCTGTATTTAACCATTTTCATGAAAATGATGTAACGAAAATATCTTCTTTTCAGTTAAACTATGACTTCAAGCTGGGTACAACAGCCGTTCTCGACACAAAAATCCATCAATTCGACATTGAAGAGACCGTTATTCCAATCGCATCCAGCAGCGCCACACCGATGGACACAGCTTGATTCAATATTTTCATGGCATTTTAAATTTTCTATACTAAAACATAATAAAAAATAGGGCTATTAGCCTGCTAAATGGTATTAATTTCAGATGTTTATTTCATTGTAAAGAAAAATTTTAACTTCAATGAATCATTGAATCAAAAATTTCCATTAAGATAACGAATTTCCACA